CAGCCCAAGTGTCCATCAGTAGACAAATAGATAAAAAAGCTGTGGTACATATACACAATGGAGTACTATGCAGCTGTAAGAAAGAAAGGTCTCTCATCCTTTGAGACAACATGGAGGGACCTGGAAAGTATTATCCTAAGCAAAACAAGCCAAACAAAAAAAAGACAAATATCATGTGATCTCACTTATTTGTGGAATATAATGAACATAGCAGTCTGAGGAATGGGGTAGTCCCAGAGACGTGGAAGTGGGATACAGACTGACAATTCTCAGAAGAGGGGGTGGTGGGGGAGAGATAAACCACATAACTTATATGCATGTATGCATGCACAATGGACATGGACAACAAAGTTGGGGAAAGTGCAGGGAGGGAGAGGGAGGGGGAATCAGTGGGTGAAAAAGGAGAAACATGTGTAACAAAAATAAATAAATAAATTTTTAAAAATCATGGTACAGAAAAAATTTTTCTAAAGCATAATAATAATAATTAGAATATAACCTTTCTAATCTTTCTGCCGACCCTTTAAACTAGGTCATCACTACTTAACAGATGAGGAAACTGAAGATCAGGGTGTTAAATACATATATCGCATTATATTGATAGGCACCTATTTATACACATAAAGATTTCTGCTACGGCTCAGAAATGCAAGTGCTCAGTTAAGGATAACCTCTGTCATCACATCTTTCAGATTAAACATTTGCAGTGATGTAAAGGTCAGAAGGAAAATAGGGGGAAATGACTGAAACCTGGCAGTCAAAATTTATAGTTCGATGCATGAAATAAAATGGGAATAAAACAAAAATAACAAAGAAAAATGAACAATATTTTACTAGTGTATCAACCAGAATATTAATAAAAGAAACTTAAAAAAAATAATGAAAGATTAAAATCATGTAACCATATAAATAGATGCTGAAAAAGCATTCAGCAAAATCCAGCATTCATTTCTGATAAAAACACTCAGCAATGTGAAAATAGAGGGATCATATCTTGACGTAATAAAGGTCACATATGAAAACCTTCAGCCAACATCATACTCAAAGGGCAAAAACTAAAAACATTTACCTTAAGAACAGAAACAAGACAGGGATGCCCTCTTTTGCCATGCTTATTTAAAATAGTACTGGAGTCTTTGCCATGGCAATCATACAAGAAGAAAAAATAAAAGTGATCCAAATTGGAAAGTAAGAAGTGAAACCGTCATTATTCGCAGATGACATGATATTGTACATAGAAAACTTTAAAGACTCAGTCAAGAATCTACTAGATTTAATAAATGAATTTGGCAAAGGTAACAGGAAACAAAATTAACATCAAGAAATCAATGGATTTCTTACACATCAAAAATGAAGTTATAAAAAGAGAAACTAAAATAAAATCTTATTTACCATTGCAGCAAAAAAAAAAACAACAACAAAAAACTAAGATACCTAGGAATAATCTTTACAAAATAAATAAAGGAACTATTTGTAGAAACTACAGGACATTGAAAGAAAAAATAAAGGAAGATATAAAAAAGTAGAAGCATACCTTGCTCAAAGATTTGAAGAATTAACATTATTAAAATGTCCATGCTACCCAAAACAATCTATAGATTCAATGCAATCATCATTAAAACACCAACATATTTCACAGAACTAGAACAAAAACTTCAAAAGTTTTTATGAAACCAAAAAAGAGCCTGAATAGCCATCAATCTTGAAGAAGAAGAATAAAGTAAAAGGGATCACAATACCAAATATCAGGTTATCCTACAAAGCCATTGTAATAAAAACAGTCTGGTACTGGCACAAGAAAAGGCATATAGACCAGTGGAACAAAACAGAGAACCCAGAAATTGACCCAAGACATTATGCTCAATTAATATTTGACAAAGGTGGTAAGAACATACAATGGAGTAAAGACAGCCTCTTTAATAAATGGTGTTGGGAAAATTGGACAGCTACTTGCAATAAAAATAAAACTAGACCACCAACGTACACCACACAGAAGAATAAATTCAAAATAAACAAAAAAATTAAATGTGACTCATGAATCCATAAAAATCCTAGAAGAAACTGTAGGTAACAAAATTTCAGACATCACGCCCAGCAGTATTTTCACTGATTCTACGTTTAAGGCAAAAAAAAAAAAAAAAGGAAGAAATTAATACATGGGACTATATCAAACTGAAAAGTTTCTGCATGGTGAAAGAAACAAACTTCAAAATGGAAAGGGAAACCACTATATGGGAGAGCATAACTGCCAATGACACATCAGATAAGGGGTTAATTTCCAAAATATATAGAGACCCATGCAACTCAACAAAAGAAAGACAAAGAACCCAATTAAAAAATGGGCAAAAGACCTAGACACCTCTACAAACAGGACATACAAATGGCCAAGAGACATCTGAAAAAATGATCAATGTCATTATTCATCAGAGAGATGCAAATTAAAATGATTATGAGGTATCACCTACACCTGCCAGAATGTGTGCCATCAACAAATCATCAAACAAGTGCTAGTGAGGGTGTGGAGAAAAGGGGACTTTAGTACACTGCTGGTAGGAATGCAGGCTGGTGCACCCACTATGGAAATCAACATGGTGTTTTCTCAAAAAATTAAGAATTGAACTGCCATTTGACCCATTGATCCCACTGCTAGGAATATATCCTAAGAAGCCTGAAACACCCATCAGAAAGAATATATGTACCCCTATGTTCAAACAGCAGCACTGTTTACAATTGCTAAGATCGGTAAACAGTCCAAGAGTCCATCAGTAGATGAGTGGATAAAAAAGCTGTGGTACATGTCAACAAAGGAACACTATGCAGCTGTAAGAAAGAAAGATGTTTTATCCATTGAGATGACATGGAGGGACCTGGAGAGTATTATCCTAAGAGAAACAAGCCAAGCAGAAATTGATTGGATTAAACTAAATAAAATCAAGGTGCATTGAAGTCACATTAAGTAAGTCTTTTCTCTGTAACAAATTATAGTCTTTGAGTAATTTTACAGTCCTTACTATGTCCCCAATAATTAGATTTTGTTTTTTCTCCAAAGCCCGTAATTTATTTCATGATACTGTCTTAATACATCACACTATTATCTCCTGTGCTGGTTTTGTCCCTGCAGAAGTGGCTGCTGAGCCAAGGAATAATGTGCAAATGCTTTATTGAAAACAGCAAGGAACATGGAAGGAGAGAGAAGTGATAAATGGAAAGAAATATATTGAATAAAGCTGGCATTATGTCAGCTTCCACTGTGAATAAACCAAGATTTCATTCTGTTGGCAAATGGTAAAAAATCTAAACCAGAGCATTATCCCAGCTAAGGGATGAGAGACATGGTACACCCCACACCTCTCCATCAAGGGCTGTCTCTGATAGGACATAATTCTCTGTCACTTCTGCTACCACATATTGGGCAAAGTAGGTTCCAGCTGGTGCTGGATGTTGGCAGTCATGCAATAGAGATGGTGAGAGGATAGCAGGGATTGTGGAAGTAATATTGCCATATACTACTTTTTGTTTTATTGCCAACTCAATTCTATGAACACTGTTCACCCAAAGTGAATGGAGTTCTAAAGATGTTCCACAAATGCTTGACTATTATTCCTGATTCAGAGAGTTCCAGAAATAAATTAAATCATGTGAGGAAACAATTAACTTTATTGTAGTCATAATTATATGGTTTTATATCTTAGAGGGTGTATCTCAAAAGTGCAATAATGAGAAATAAAAGTCAGATAAAAATGAGAAGAAAGCCCTGGCCGGTTTGGCTCAGCGGTTGGAGCGTCGGCCTGCGGTTCAGAGAGACCCGGGTTCGGTTCCCACTAAGGGCATGTACCTCGGTTGCAGTTTGTCCCCGGCCCTGGTTGGTCGTGCGGGTGGCAGCCACTCGATGTGTCCCTTCACATCGATGTTTCTCTCTCTCTCTCTCTCCCTCCCGCTCTATCTGAACAAAAAAAAAAAAATGGAAAAATGTCCTCGGGTGAGGATAAAAAAAAAAAATGAGAAGGAAGAAACATGGGTGGAAGGAAGGATCATAAAGAAAGACTAATCTCAGTTTTTTGAGGCAGTAAATTTCTATAAATCATCTAAAGAAACCATCTTCAAATCTATATTCCTCCTTTGAAGTTCAAAATCACATCACAGTTGTTGTGAAAGGTAGGATAGCAAAGTCAATGCCAGGCTGTAGTCCAACTCCATTTCACTCTCTTCTTTTGAAAAGTGAAGTGAGCCCTGGCCGGTTTGGCTCAGCGGTCAGAGAGTCGGCCTGCAGTCCTGAGAGACCCGGGTTCGGTTCCCGCTAAGGGCGCGTACCTCGGTTGCAGTTTGTCCCCGGCCCTGGTCGGTTGTGCGGGTGGCAGCCACTCGATGTGTCCCTTCACGTCGATGTTTCTCTCTCTCTCTCTGTTCCTCTCTCTCCCTCCCACTCTACCTGAACAAAAAATGAAAAAATGTCTTCGGGTGAGGATAAAAAAAAAAAAAAAAAAGGAAAAAAAGAAAAGTGAAGTGAAATGAGAGACAATATCTCAGAGAAATGTTTTTAAGATGAAAGCAAGTCATTCATGTGAGGAGACAACTAGAGTCCTGATATTGTAAGCACTTTAATCTGATTACAGGAAGATTTTACTCCATTTCTTCTGGAAAAGAAGCATACAACCAAGTTAAGGTGAAGATCAGTACAAGGACAACATTTTGGGAAACTAAGTTCAGCACTTGACATGATAAGTGCTTTAAATCGAAAGTATAAAATGTTAAGGATAGCTGCAGGAGTGCTGACCAAACATGGAATGTTGTGGACTGTATATAGGAAAGAAAAATAAAAAAATATTTTTAAGGGATTTGCTGAGAAGAAATGAATACAATCAAAAGAGGAATCATGTGTGCTTTGGAAATAGAAGAAATCAAACCTGTTTTTAAGGAGAGAAAAAGAAACAGATATTTCAAGTTGCAACATTTACCTTTGGGGACTACAATGCTCACTTATTTCTGAGGCCAGTAGTCCGTCAGAGACAAGATGCTTTTGGGTTCAGGAGCTTTCTCAGGGCCCCCTTCACATCCTTGTTCCTCAGGCTATAGATGAAGGGATTTAGCATGGGAGTGACCACTGTGTACATTACTGAGGCAACTGAATTTTGTAGGGGAGAATGGGTCACAGCAGAATTGAGGTAGACCCCTAGGCCTGTCCCATAGAACAGGGAGACCACAGTGAGGTGAGACCCACAGGTGGAAAATGCTTTATATTTTCCTTTTGCAGAGGATCTTCTCATTAAAGAGGAGATAATCTGAGAGTAAGAAAAGAGAATTCCAGTGAGAGGAAACACAACCAGAAGGGCAGTGGCCACATACAAGAAGATGATATTGATGAGGGTGTCAGAGCAGGCCACCTTGAGGATCTGAGCCAGTTCACAGAAGAAATGTGGAATTTCAGTGCCTGTACAGAAGGTCAGCCTCCTCATCAGTAGAATATGAATCAGGGAGTCCCATAAAATGATGAGCCAAGACATTATAACCAGGACACCACAGAAGTGTGGATTCATGATGACCGTATAGTACAAAGGTTGGCAGATGGCCGCATAGCGGTCATAGGCCATCACAGTCAGGAGAAAATTGTCCATTCCGGCAAAAACCATAAAAAAGTACACCTGAATGAGGCATTCAATGTAGGAAATGTTTTTGCTCTGTGCCTGGATATTCACCAACATCTTTGGGATGGTGGTGGAGGTGAAACAGATGTCAACCAAGGACAGGTTGGCGAGGAAGAAGTACATTGGGGTGTGCAGGTGGGAGTCTGAGCTGATGGCTAGGATGATGAGCAGGTTTCCAAGCATGGTGAACAGGTACAAGGACAGGAACACTCCATAGAGTAGGGGCTGAAGTTTAGGATCATCTGAGAGACCCAGGAGGAGGAATTCTGATACTTCTGTGTGGTTTTCTGTCTCCATGAAGCTGATGTGTCTTCTGAAAAGGAGGTGAAAGCAACATTCAATAAACAGCCAAATGGTATCTCAGCTAGTCATCACCTTTTGATTCCACCTTTGCATGGACATCTTTCATGGTCTAGCAATCATTCCAATGCCAGTGTTTCCCTCATTTAAGTGGTAACCCAAATTTATTTTAAATTATATAATTATTCAAACTTCAGTTTAGCAGAAATCTTTCTTTTTATTTTTATGTTCTACACATTAGTTCTAATTCTCTTACCTAAATTTATAGACATCAACCAAATTTTTCTTTCACGTGAGCCCTCCAAAATAACTAAAGATATTTAAGGCCTTTTCTTTGATAATCTTCATATTTATTTCAGTTCATAACAGTGATTTAAATTTGTGTTTTAAACTCAAACTTAATTTTGTTACCTGATGCTTTATATTGATGTCACTGTTAAGTCTCCATGTGCCTTATTGTGTTTGTTTCTCAAAATGCAGTGACTACTATTAGCATCTTTGTATAGATGAAAAATGACTTTAATTACAGTAAGATCTCAATAAATATACCAATTGATCCCAGCCTGAGTCAGGTTTGTGTGGGAGGCAACCAATGGATGTGTCTCTCTCACATCAATGTTTCTCTCCCTCTCCCTCTGTCCCTTCAACTCTATATATATAAAAAAAAAATAATGGAAAAATATCCTTGGGTGAGGATTAACAACAAAAATAGTGAGGGCATGTACTCTCAAGTGGAAATGTATTGTATTAAAATCAGTGGCAAAAACTGAAAAAAAAAGTAGTAGATTTTATTTATACAAGTATTTTAATACACAGGTATTCAATTGTCTATTCATGAAATCATCCTAATAATTGAAAGGCAATTTTAAGATTTGAAAGTAGAAAGGCTCCAAGTTTACTCAGAGAAAATATTTGCAAATAGTACCTCCAATGAACAGGCTAATATGCAAAATATATAAAGAACGTATACAACTCAACAACAACAACAACAACAAAAAACTCCAAACCATTTAATTTAAAAATGGGCAGAGGACCTTAACAGACACTTTCCCAAAGAGGACATACAGATAGCCAAACAGATATAGGAAAAAAACTCAAATTCATTAGCTATAGGGGAAATGCAAATCAAAACTGCAATGAGATATCACCTCACACCTGTTAGAATGGCTTTTATCAATAAGACAAAAAATAAGTTTTTGAGAGGATGTGGAGAAAAAGGAACCCTTGTGGGAATAAAAATTGATGCAGCCTTTATGGGAATCACAGTAGAGGGGGATCAAAATTAAGAATACATTACCTTATCACCCAGCAATTCTTATTCTGGGTATTCACCTGAAAATTTTGGAAACACTTATTTGTAAAGATAGGTATATGTACCTTTATGTTTATTGCAGCATTATTCACAATAACCAAGACATGGAAATAACCCAAGGGTCCTTTGATAGATGATTGCATAAAGAAGATGTAGTACATATATAATATACAATATGATTCAGTCATTAAAAAGATGAAATACTGCCAATTGTGACAACATGTATGGGTCTTGAGAGTATCGTGCTAAATAAAATACCATATGATTTCACTCATATGTTGGATTTAAAACACAAATGAACAAATGAACAAACAAAACAAACTCATGGACATACACAATAGTATTGTGGTTACCAGAGGAGAAGGTGATTGGGGAGAGAATACAGAGGGAAAAATGGGTAAATATATGGTGATTGAAGGAGACTAGACTTTGGGTGGTGAGCACACAATAGAATATACAAATGATGGATTATAAATTTTTATACCTAAAATGTATGCAATGTTATCCCTATACATTTCATTTTTAAAGGAAAGTAAATAAATGTTTACTTTCTCAATTATAAAAATATTTCACTATTACTAATGCCTACAGAATGCTAATTAAGGAGAGAAAAAAATCACTGAGGACCCGTTTAGTCAGGAGAGGTTGGTAAAAAAGACTTTTCTGAAATATGAAAATTTGAGCTGTGAGAGGAAGGGTGGGTAATTATGAATTAGGAGAAATTAAAAACGGGCAAGCACTAAGCCTAAGAGAACAGAATTTCCAGTTGCATGTGGGTTGGTGAGCTTGGTAACAGAAGGGATTTGAGAGACCAGTGAGATACATATTAGGTAAGTGGAGTCAAGAGGGAGAGAGTGTGTGAAGCCCAATATGAGCACCCTGTACTATTCCTTAAGTGCTCTTATGTTGGTAATTTTATGTTCTTTGTGGGTTAAAAGTTGTAACTGTTTTTGCCCTTGTCATTCCATCACTTATCTGGTGCCTGGCTCATAGTATGTGCTCAACGTATACAAATGTTAGATATGTAATAAAGATTGAGACCAAAAGTGTCAACTATAACACAAAAAAGAAATCTTCAAGCTCATCATATAATTGGTTTCCTCTCGCTAAATGAAGAAATCAATGGCAATTTCTTTCTTTTTTTTTTTTTTTTTTAAAAACTTTTTTTATTTTATTTTATTTTTTTATCCTCACCCGAGGATATTTTTCCATTTTTTGTACAGATAGAGTGGGAGGGAGAGAGAGGAAGGGAGAGAGAGTGAGAAACATCGATGTGAAGGGACACATCGAGTGGCTGCCAACCGCACGACCAACCAGGGCCGGGGACAAACTGCAACCGAAGTACGTGCCCTTAGCGGGAACCGAACCCGGGTCTCTCCGGACCACAGGCTGACACTCTAACCGCTGAGCCAAACTGGCCAGGGCACAATGGCAATTTCTTAACTCAATAAATAGCAGTTCTTTAAAGTCTGTAGACAACAGGATATTCTACATTAATGCACAAAAATATTTGTGCTCAGTTCATGAGCAGACCAATGTAGTCAACTCCACCTTTAATGACTTGATATTCTTAAATCACTTCATTTAGCTAAACATTTAAAGAGATTGGTAAAATGAAGAAAGGAAATTAGCTTGAGTAATGAACATTGGAAATAATTTTATGATTTGTAGATAATATAGTGGACGCTTAGGTAAAACAACAATAACATGAATATAGAACTAGTAAGTGCTATCAGTGTGTCAATCTGCTGCAAAACCACAAATATAAGAGAAAAACCCAATCACATTAGGAACAAAATATACAATACCTCATACATAGTAGATCTCCAGTGAGAAGTTAATAAGTGTTTGCACGTTGGAAATTGAGAGGAATCTTATAATTAAGGAAAAGATTGAAAAACAGGTGAATGTTCTCTGGGAAACGATTTCTATTGTAGAGAGCTTGTGGACCCCAAAGTGGGAAAGAGAAGGAATCAGAGCAAAGGCATTGAGGAAAAGTTTCAGGGGAAACTAAAGTACCTTCAAAATATAAAGAATCCATTTTTGTTAACCATTTAGCACAGGACTATCACAGTCCAATTATTCCAGGTAAAGCCCAGTACCCACATTGTCTCATTTCCTTTTCATTTCACCAGCCCTCACTATAACCTTCCCTGTAGGATGCAGTGACCCTCCCTGAAGGATAACACTGAAGCTTTCTGTTGGCTCCAAGTTCTATCTCTGGGAAGCTCATCTGAATTCTTATTTGGCTGGGATCAGAGAATTCAGGAAAGGGGCAAAATGAACAAGTTTAAAGTTTCCAGTGTCTCAAGGGATATCTCAGAGCTCCTCATTAAAAAAAAATTGTTCTATTTCTTCTCACTCTCCAAACAATTCAGATCCCATTGGGTGCAAAGATACAAGAATGAGAAAATGTCATCTAATGTTGCATCTGTAAAAGCATGAAGGGGGAAGATCAATTTATTTCCTCCAAGGAGAAACACTTCTTTCTTTTATCTGACTTAAAGTGACAAAGTGTCTCCTAAGGAATGTTAAATTGCCTCAGTCAGGAACCAAAGCCAGAAACCAACTTTCTGAGATGTTCTTCTCTTGAAGAACCTTTGGAGATTTCATGGATTGATCGGTGTCCAGAATGTCATGGAAGCAAAGAGGTTTTTTAAAAGAAAGGCAGAGTTGTTAAATAATTTGGTCCTGTTGAAAGAACCAATCAAATAAAAAATATTTTTGACATTTTCAGGTGACACGGATCCTCTGTTGACATCAATAAGGTCTCCACTTATTACCTTTAAATAGAGGGGTACAGACAGAAATAATCCAGGTAGAGTGGGTTGAAGAGTGAGTCTTGGGGAAATATAGGTGACTAATATAAATCACATTTCATGTTTGTGGGGAAAAGTGAGGAGAGAATATAAAGCATAGTGTAAAGAGAGTTGAAATTTGAGAGGGTTTAAGAAAAAATTTATTGGAAGACATAGGAACAGGTTCACTATAGAGGGAATAATCAGACTTAGTGCAAGCATTTCAATACACAGGAAGTTCTGACTATATATGCTACAGGATGCAGCATCCACTCTAAGTCACTGACAATCATAGTGTGCTGTATCTCTGATTTATAGAATATGTGGGTCCATAGAGCCAATGTTGGAAGTAGAAGTGGCCCCTTCTAATGACACTTTCCTTGAGCCACTTGGGAAGTTTGTGGATCAAATCTCCACAACTCTGGCCTCTGCAGGTTTAGAGCTCTTGACTTTGATGGAGATATACTTCCAGTTATATGGCAAAAGTGCCATTGAACTTGAAGCTCTACTGCTGCTTGGCTCTCCAGATCCTTCATGAGAAGAAGCAGAATCATGATTCTGGAAGGGGTAACTGATCCTGGTCATCAGTGTCATTGTGTGACTATGGCAATGGGTAAGCACTGAGACCCTGCTGTTCCCAGTAAGTGGCCAGGAGCAGCTCAGGAGCAACCTCAGTGCAAATACAGTGGTGAATGCAAATGACTTTGGCCTGTTATGCTCCCCCTAATATGAGATCTGAGTGGTGTCTCCTAGGTGAGACAGCCTCCTTTAGCTGAAGGCTAATTACAAAGATGACTGAGTTCTGATCTGTCAGATGGATGCAGTTTCTGCACCTTGAAAAGTAGGCTCTTCATCTTGAAGGAGGATCTGGGCAATGACCGCAGCATTCTTCATTGTCCACCCCTAGAGGCATTTAAATCAATATTTTTCTTTTAGCCTCACAAAAATTTTTTAATTCTTTTTAATTTTTACATTACAGTTAACATTCACTA